TCTCTCTCTCTCACACACACACACACACACACACACACACACACACACACACACACACATACACACTCACATACACACACACATACATTCTTTTGTCTATTGATGGGGAGCGCCACCTGCTCGAAACTGGGTTCAACGTCCCATGAACATCGTGAATAAAGCACCAGCCGGGACCCCACACACACACTCTCTTCGAGTTGTGTATAGCAAACATGACAAAACATACATACAGCATAATCACGACCTTACCCTTCTCGAACCACATAAACAAATGAACTACGGGTTGCGCACTTATACCCTCACGGTAAATCAATAGATAGATAGATAGATATCATGTCTATTCCCTGTCCTTCGTCAGGTTCTCATTTACTTCTTCTCAGAGAGGTGAAAGTGTGCTTCTGATATGTAGACAACCGGCACTTGCCGCTAAAACACACAAACATTGATAACATCCTATCACAAGTAATACAGACACTGATAGACCGCGCCAGGCGCGGTAGCGCAGCCAAGGGAGCCCCGGAGGCCATGTCCAAGTTGTTGAGTTTTTGTTTTGGTTTGGAATGCACGGGGTCCCTCGACATGTGATCTGAAAGTGTCGTGGTGTGAGGAAACCCGGGGAGGGGCCGCCTACTGTTCGCTGAAGCCAAGGGCAACAGCGCCTGTCACTCGCTGCGCCCACTTCCGAGGTCCTCAACGTCCAGTAGGGGGAAATGTCTTTAATGTTGAAAAAATAATAATAATAATAATATCGGCTCATTATGCCAATAATGTTGATCAGCGATCTTAGTTACAGTTCTCTCCCAGTCCCCCGATCGTTACGTCATCCTCAGATTAAATAATAATAAAAAAAAGAAAAATATAAGAGAAAATTCGAGCAGCGGAATGCCCTACCCACTCTCACCTTCGCACTTATTAACCCAATCCCTCATTCTCCCTCGAGGCACACCTCCTCTTTTCTCAGCGAATGTATGAGCTCACACCCTGTCACAGAGTTCCAGACCTCAGTTAGGGACAGATGTGGATTGATCTTAGGCAAAGGAATAAAATAAACAAGTAGACGAATGTTTAAATGAATAAATAAATAAATAAAATTGTGTTGTGCATACAACCATTCACTCATTCACCCACTCGCCTGCTCGCTGCCACATGCCTGTGTTCTCACACACCC